AATATCATTTTCAAATACATATTACTTCAATAAAACTGAAAATAAAAATGCTAATACATTTTATAGTCTTTCTCCATACTAAATTATTAAGAAAAAATAAATGATAGTTTTTTGTGTGTCTCAGAGAAGCAAAAACAAAACAAGCCATGTATTTTAATACAACTTAATTCTAGCCTCTAATTTCACATTCTCCCAAACAAGAAATGTGTTAATGAATAACAAATTCCAGATGACACATCAAGTGGAGAATCTAAGTAGATGTTTCAAACTAAAATAATGTGTGAAACTCAATCTGAGATTTGTAAATGATCAAATGATCACGACATTCTTGGGCCTCTGAGGTCCTCCACTCTTAAAATGGTGAAGGTGAGGGTGGACTTGATTCCTTCATGCTCTTTTAGGTAGATAAGCATCTCCAACAAATCTATTGAAAGATATCAGTGTTCTCCCTCCCTCTGAAGTGGCATATCCAGAGAAACCAAGAGGCTAAGAGATTGGCTCCCACATTAGTTTGTTTACAAAGGACAGAATTTTTAATGCTTTGAGATTTCCCTGTTCTTTTTAATTTTGTGGTAGAGAATGTTTCATGGCCTGGAGGCCTGGTGTGGGGCAGAACCTGCTTTGGATTGAGTCTATTCAGACCACCAAAGAGAAGAAGCGATTGGGTTTTGGCTCATATTTCATTTAACAAGCTGGGAGAGCAGAGGCAGCTTAAATCCAGCCAAATGCCTGTCTGTCCACTAGGTTAGTAGAGATGAGAGTCCCCATGGATGGGGCAAACACTCAAAATCACCACCTATGAGAGACTTAGGCTCAAAATCTGTAAATCACAGAAACTCAAACCTAGTTTACTAGGTATACACTCAAATATAAATTTTCTTATCTTTCTTCCCTTGGCTCAAATCTTTATTGCCCTGAAGCTAATGTTTATATGTTTGCACCTTAAATCAGGGCTAACTAAGGAGAAGTCAAGATGTACCTGTTCGTAGACAAGTGTGTGGGACAAATTCTGAGTCTAGAAATTGTTGTATAAATCAAAGAATGATTGCACCACAATTTCCTAGAAAAAAAGGTAATACTGTAAATCCACTTTCTTTTATCTTCCATGGAACTCTTGTTCCATGCCCAGAGGATGCCACATTGACAATATTTCATTTTTGGTTTCAGAAATAATGATCTTGGCTGGAAGACAAGCCCTCATTGGTTTAATCCCATCACATTTTATTATTGAGAAGGATTCAAATTATTTCATACTAAAATTTCAGACCCACAATTTACTGTATTTCTTAGTCACAACATTTGAATAACATAACAGCAGCTCTTAGCTATGTTACCTAGCAGGTCTTAAAGCAATTTGTATTCTTTAAGATTGTCTTTCTTTTAAATAAATTAACAACCAACAAGAAACATCACTTTCTACTGACCTGAGGGCCTGAGCCACATAAACCTTGTTAGGTTCACCCAAAGCATGGGAATCAAATTAAGAGTGTGTAGGAAAACAACAGAAGATTGGCAGAAACAATCTACAAAGTTGAGAACCAAGTCAAACACTTACATTTCAACTGACTAATAAAATTGAACAGTGTAGACTAGATTTCTCATGTCCATTTTATGCTTTCAAATGTATCTACACTAAAGTGTTTGATTAAATGTAGCATGTCTAGTAACTGAACCTGAAACAGATAAAGGTCAGAGCAAACACAGTGTATACTTATGGCTAGGATGTAGCTGAATAGTGGTGTGCTTGTCTAGCAGGCTCAAGAAACTGATTCTCAACAAACAAAAAGTTGGAAGTTTAATTAATGATATTGTACCCAAACTAATTCTTAAAAGATCATTTATTTTTATTTTATGTACGTGGGTGTTTTGCCTACATGTATATCTGTGCACCACATGTGCTCAATACCTGAAGAGGCCAGGAAAGGGGGTTAGGTCCCTTGGAGTTGACACTTATGGTTGGTTGTAAGCTTCCTGTGGGTACTGGGGACTGAAGTGCAGCAAGTTCTCTTAACTTCTGAGTCATTCATCTAGCTCCAGTGTCTCATTATATAGATTAGGAAAGCCTTGAATTTATTATGTAGCCCAATTCTCCATGTTTAGTCTCCCAAGTGCTGGGATTATAGGGATGCATCACTACATCCAGCCTAATTTTTTTCCATTGTGATGGTGACCTAATATATTCATATTAGGACATGCTAGACAAATTTGAACTATAGTTTCAATGTTCTTGCAGATTGTAAAATATGGCAAAATGGTAGTTTAAACTCAATCAAAATCCATAGTCCTATGGACTTTAGAGGCAAACTTGCTGCTGTTCTTTAACTAAACTGTCATAGCATGAAGCTGCCTTGTAAATATTTATGTTAAATCCCATAGGTAAATGCCACTCCCAGCATTCATCAGAGAAGTATCTCTTTCCAGTGAACATCAATGAGTGTAGCGACTCATGTCTGCTCAGGGTGCTAAGAATATGTGATTGTTGAATGCTTACAGTTAATTTTATGCAGAAATTTATACCACCTACACTAAGGCTCAGGGATCAAGCAGGAGTGGATAGAAAGAATGTAAGCAGAAGATAGTGGAAGGGACTATGAGTTGCTACCTTCTGGGCATGGCAGAACTGCCGCAAACATGACCTATTAACAGGCCTGGGCCTATTAATCAGGGATGGATCAGAAAGGGGGGCTTGCATGGCTCTATGCCTCCATGAACTATCGAGTCTACTGATGATGAATTCTGTCATTGTCTTCAGTATGTACCCACAAGTAGTCTATCAGGCTCAATACATAGTTGCAAAGCCATTGTCACAGACAATTCTGATCAAACTCAATGAGTCTCAAAGGACTAGGAGAAGGCAATATGACTGTGGGAAAGAGACTTGTAGGGAAGATGGGTAACTGGGGTGAAAATAAGGTAAGAGAGGGGTAACAGTAATCAGAGTGCATTTTATACATGTAACACATTTCAAAAAAATCAAAATAAAAGACATTTCAAAAGAAAATGTTCAAAATGCTGATGAAAACATTGTTTCAAAATATTTTTTAATCAAATTGTGAGTGCTGTCAGTGATTCATTTGCGACTTTGATGACTAACATGAAAAATTTTCTAGTGTTCCTGAGATTAGTGGTTTGCCTAATAACCACTTCTTCTTTGGAGAAGCCATGCTCCTGGGAAAGAGTAAAAATTTTCCACTGACAAAGGACACAGTTGACAAGACCAAATGGCAGCCCACAGACTGGGAAAAGATCTTCACCAACCCCACATCTGACAGAGGGCTGATCTCCAAAATTATAGAAAGACTCAAGAGAGTTTATAGTTTAAAATGTTCTTCTGCCATCTTGTAATCAGAATCATAATAAAATATTACATGCTCTGACCATGTTTTGTTCACAACATCAATGATCCTTAGCATTTTAAGTACTAATTTCTTATTTACATTTCAATATTGTTATCATTTTCTGGTTACGTTATGGGAATGAGAATGGGCTTGTATTCAATAATCAAAAATAAACAGAAAATGCATGTATTAGGTTAAACATTCTGACATAATGCAAATTGTAGCAATTTTTTTTTAGATTTAACAGGAAAAGTCTAATAGTAGCAACCTAATACTCTGATGCAAGATAAATATATTGATTGAGACTAACAACTGACATTTGGGTTAATATTTATTGCTAATCTATAGAGATTTAAAAAAAACAACGCTAAAAACTAAACAAACAAAACACCCTACTGTTAGAGGTTAAATGACAATTGACAGCTTCCAAGTCCAGTAACAAAGAATCTAGACAGCACCATATTATGTATTTTCAAAGAGTTGTCTTTATTGAGACGTAAAGAAACTGTCATAATAATAACAAATTCAAGAGACTAGTAAAAACGAAGCAGTTTTAAAATATGCCATTCTGCAGAAAAGGACACCAGTGTAGAAAGGCAAAATGGCTGACTTGGTGATTTGGCACATGGTTTTTTAAAGTCCCTTGGTCTGGTGAAGTTCCTCTTTTCCCATAGGCTAGGACTTGCCCCCTTACCAATGAATGATTCGGGGCTTAAGACTGTCCCTTTTCTAGTAGCAGACTGCCTGTTACTTTCTAGTTTTCAGAGTTCTGAGTCACGTCACCTAGAGGAGAGGCTTCAAAGCCTGGCCTCCTGCTATCCGTCATTAACTTGAAAAACATCTCATATTGAAAACAACACCTACTTAACAATTAATTTCTTATCATTCCTCTCGGCTGCACTACCATGGCCTGTGACCATGAGGGAGTCGCATTCCTCCAGGAAGGATTCTAACTCTGACCATTCTAGTGATGGAAATAATAAAATGAGCAGAGTAGGGAGACCCCTCTAGTCTGCCTGTGCACATCTTGTCACTTAATGCACAGGGAGGTGGTGAGTGGGGCTGTTACCCAACCTCTCTTCCTGATGTTTAGTCACCAAACTAAGGCATGGTAACCTCGTGATCTCACGACGACAGTCTTCACACAATGACTGTTCTCACAAAGACAAGGGAGAACTCTTGGCTGACTCCCAGAACAGGTTTGTTTCTTTTGTTTTTGCCCCTCTTGCACACACGATTCTTCTTACACGTCTAAGCTCGTCGCACTTCCTTCAGTACTTTTGCGCCCTGGGTTTTACGTGATTGGTTCCTGAAGTTAAAGCGGAGGCTAGCGATTACTCAGGCCGGCGAGCAGCCATCCTTTAGGACTCTTTGGGATCCTTTACACGGCTGGCTTTACTCCTTCCTGCTGAAGGGTTTTGTTCACTGACAGAAAATTCTGGCACCTCACAGTTTCATTCGCGACATAAACACGCATTTCGTCCAAAACCGCAGCTTACTCTGATCCCCGCTGTCCCCCGCCACCTCGCTCACACACATCCAGCTGAGCTTTGCACCGTCCTCGCTCCACCCAGAGCCAGCAGACCGCCCAGAGGCACGCCCCTATCCCCTCTCCCGGCCCCGCCCACCCCGCGAGCGCGCGAGACCACGCACGCGCCGGCCCGCTGCGGAGTCGCCTCGGCGCCCAGCAGTGACGTCAGGGGCGCGCCCAGCCAGCAAAGTTCGTGCGGGTTCGGCGGGAGGGCGTCCTGCGGGTTCGCGCTCATGGTGCGCTGCGGCTGCGCGTGGTGGAGAAAGGTCCGTGCCCGGGTGTCCTGCCCCCAGCTCTGCAGTCTGTCGCCGCTCTCCCGGGCTGTCGTCCCCCACTCCCCTCTGTCCCGGGAGGAGCCTGTGTGTCTTGACGTGCTTAGGCCTGTTTGGGGGTCCCGCTCTGGGGGGAGTTGCTCGGAAATTCGTCAGCGCTCGTGGGAGCGGAGGTGGGGTACCTGCCTGCGGTTTAGACGCGGTGTCGCGGTGTGCGAGCCCCTCAGCGGCTTTTGTCTTGGCTCTCTCGTGGTTTAAAGTAGCATCCCTTGCCTCTTTATACGTTTTTCCTCCCCTGTACTGCTTTGAATATCTTTCTGAAGACCTTTTCTGCAAGCCCAAGTGTGTAATTGTCGGGCCCCTTACAGAGATTTCAGTTTCTATGTCGTGCCTGTTTTAGAATCCATTTTCATAGCAATCCGCAACCAACCGCTTCCACTACAAAATAATAATAATCACGATGGGTTAACTAGTAATGGTTTTTGAAAACTAGAAGTCATCTTACTTAAGCTTTTCCCTGTTACTAACCACCACTGTAAGATTTCTAAGTGAAGTTGATGAATCTAGAACGTTAAGAAAAAGTAACATACTGAACATCGCTTTAAAAGTCCTTAACAAAAGTATATCAGGGTGGCCAACCTTCACTTTTTTTTTTTTCTTTTGTTTGTTTTTTGTTTTTCCAGACAGGGTTTCTCTGTGTAGCTCTAGGTGTCCTGGAACTTGCCCTTGTAGACCAGGCTGACCTCGAACTCACAGAGATCCACCTGCCTCTGCCTCCCGAGTGCTGGGATTAAAGGCGTGCCCCACCACTGCCTGGCTTGGTGGTCTTTACTTTATATAAATCCCCAGATATTTCTGATACCTGAAAGTATTGCAGATTATTTAAAAAAGTGAATATTAATTTAAGGAATTACTCTAATTTGAAAGCCTGGGATTAATACACAAGGTCTTTATAAGAAGTTAATAATTTAGTGAGGAAAACAAGAGACACTAAATCTAGAATAAGATTTCAGGCCTGGTGTTGTGGTGCATGTCTTTGATTCCAACACTCAGAAGGCAGAGGCAGGCAGATCTCTGAGTTCGAGGCTAGCCTGGTCTACAGAGCAAGTTCCAGAATAGGCTCCAAAGCAATACAGAGAAATCCTGTCTCACCCACCCCCCCCCAAAAAAAAAAAGATTTCAGAATGTTTAACCCAATTTCTAAGGAAGCCTGTAAGGCAGAGTAAGAGTCAATGAGAACCAACATTCCATGGATGCCTCAGATCATAAAACTATATATAACTTTATTTTCATTTTATGTGCATTGGTATTTTGCCTTTATGTATGTACATCTGTGTGAGGGTGTAGGGTCCCCTGTAACTGGAACTACAGAGCTGTGAGCTGCCATGTGGGTGCTGGGAACTGAACCTAAGTCCTGTGGAAGACCAGCCAGTACTCCCAATCACTGAGCCATCTCTCCTCTCCATAAAACCATATTTTAAGCCATATTTTAGTTCTATTATTTGAGAATATATTTTAAGTCTGACATCAGAACATGGGTTTATGATAGAAAGAACAAATGGTAATCTAAGTAGAGGAAAAAGTGTGAGTAGAGAGAAACTGAGCAGAGCATTGCATGGCAAAGAGTAAGACTGGGAAAGTTATAACAAATAAAAGTAACACTTGGATGATAGGGTGAAGCACAGTGGATTTTATTTGTTATTCCATAAGCAGTGAAACCCCAAAGTCATGATTGTTTCTGTGTAGAGAAAAATACAGACACCAGATTCACTTGGGGGTGGTGGGGGAAGACCTCTTGGTTCACAGTAATGGATGCATTCAGCAGGAATGATGAAACTTTGGAAGACCATTTGGCGTTAACAGAGGAGGTTTTAAGAGGACAGAGGTGCTAGAAAAAGAGTTAGGCTTCTGGGAAAGCCACAGTTCTAGCCAAAAGCCATTCATTTGTTCAGTCTTGGTGAAAGGATAAGCTTTGATAATTATTTGAGGGAACAGATTATTTTTGTTGCTTAACATTTGTTTTGGAGGGAACATCAATTCAATTTCAAGATACCCACCAACAAGTTACTTATTTAAAGGGTTTCAAATATAAATGAAATACAGTTCTGCTTTCACTTGTTTTAAACCACTAAACGCTTACAGTTTTTCTAGTGATAGTTACTGTTACCACTATGATCATCCAGGAGAGAAGGTTTAGAATGAAAAGAGAGAAAGGGCAGAGACTTTGAGGATAGGTGAGGCAATCAACTACGAGAGATGGGAATGGGAAATGGAGGTGATCTAAGATAAAGCTGTACAAATTTTATAAAGGAAACTTTGAGGCTTCTTGAAAAAGCCTCAGTAGAATGAAACTAGAACCTTTAAATTAATAACATTTGATGTGTAAATATTCTCTCTCTTTCTCTCCCTCTTTTTAAGTATGGAAATTTCATTGATAACTTAAGACTCTTCACCAAGGGAGGAAGTGGTGGAATGGGTTACCCTCGTTTAGGTGGAGAAGGTGGAAGAGGTGGCGATGTCTGGGTTGTAGCCCATAAGAATATGACTTTAAAACAACTTAAGAACAAATATCCTCAGAAACGATTTGTGGCTGGAGTAGGAGCAAACAGTAGGTAAGTGTTTATTGAAGGATTTTAGCATCATGAAAGGCAAACCCTTCTGGGGAAACAATTTAGAACTTGACTGATAACTGGAAGTAAATTATTTTCTGTGATTGTAACCAAGCAAAAGTCTAACGACTATTTTGGTGGCTTTGACCTTTATTCATTTATTCTCCCAGTATCTCTTGCATCTCCTCTGTTAGAATAGGTGTTATCTGAATCTCTACTTTCCAAGTTTAACTGTAGGCAAAATTTCAGCAATGACACTGCAACTCACCACCATGAAAAGTCTTTTACCTGTAAATCTTCACCCAGATATAACCATTATTTGATTTGAATCTGCTTTTCTAATGCAGTTCTGTGTTTATACAACTGTAATTATATGCTTGTGTATAAAATCCAGCATAAAGAAATAAGATTAAAAAAAGCACAATACTTTACAGCCTTCTCTTTTTACTTAACCCCTTCATGCCTAAAATTTATTGAGAAAGCTGTGTATCATAGTATTTAAATTAATATTTTATCATTTGCTAGTTTAGGCTAGTGTTGGTTTTGTTATTTTTTTTAATTGCTATAACCGCAATGTATTAATGATATCCTGTGTAGATACTCTCTATAATAAGTAGTCATATGCTTATGTTTAATATTTTGATTATACCATGTAAGAAGCTTTAAAGAAGCCAATCAGCACCTTATAATTTAAGTACTACCAGTTATAGTCTGTTTTTTAGAAGATTTATATATTCATTGGATTTGCTGGGGTTTTCTACTTTATTTGTATTGTAGCAATCATCTTTGTATAACATCAGATGTACAATATGTTAGTTAATTTCTGGTTGAAATGACTTTTAGTGTTTAATTTGGTAATAAGTTATTTCTATTTTTATAAGACACAGTATAAAATGTAAAATATAGAAATAATCTTTAGTATTCAACCTTTTAATATTTGTATTAGTTGAGAAGGGTCGATTGCTAGTCGCCTTTGTAAATCATTTAATTTCGTGGTTTTTTGTTTTTTTGTAGAGTTAGTGCATTGAAGGGCTCCAAAGGAAAAGACTGTGAAATCCCTGTGCCTGTGGGTATTTCAGTAACTGATGAAAATGGTAAAGTTATAGGTGAGTGTGCTGCAGCTGCTGAGCTTCCAACGTTAATCAGAAAGCAGTACAATAGCCTCTTAAAGTCCTCAGCTCCCATCATGTGGGATCATGTGGGTTCTCAGGATAACACTCAGGTCATCAAGGTTGGTAGCAATTCCCTTTACACACCAAGCTGTTTCACAAAAGAAAGTTTTTTAGCACTTACAATTTTAGCTACTAGCTTACTTAAGATTTTTTTAAATGTACATAAAATGAATCCAAGAATTTGCTGCTAGATTTAAGATGACTTTAAGGAGGTAAGGATACTTACTTAGTTTTAAAACATATTAATTAATTTCCTTTTAGCTGCTTACAGAAGTGTTTTTCTGGGAGGTGGGGGTCAGTATTTATTTGCCTTGCATCTGTGGTAGACAAACACTTTGCTTCTAAGATGCCAGCCCTAGGGAGTTGCTTTTAAAAATGTTATATTTTTTTAAAAAATTAAATCGCAAATTTAACCCTTTAGATTTCTAAATTGGAATTTCTTGGCATGTATTTGTGCAAAACAGAACATATTATTGGTTTTATTTATTAATGCTTGTTGTCTTTCCTCTTAAAGGAGAACTCAATAAAGAAGAAGATAGAATTCTAGTTGCTAAAGGTGGCCTTGGTGGTAAATTACATACAAATTTCTTACCTTTGAAAGGCCAAAAGCAAATAATTCACCTTGACCTAAAAGTTATAGCTGATGTAGGCCTAGTAGGGTAAGTATCATTTATATTCTTATAATATGTTCAAGCAGACCAAGACCACAAAATAAATGTAAATAACAGTTTGGGGCAATGAATGTTCCTAGTTTATATCATTTGTATGTTAGCAGTGGATATGTGACCCAGGCTGTCTGTGGCTGGCTGGGGAGAAGGCATGAATGGGGAAGTCAGGGAGACCTACTATACTAGACCTTAGAGAAAGGAGTCAGGTCTGGCTGGATGGTGAGGTTAGATAAATCACAGAAGGAACCTATGGCAGTTTGGATGGATCCTTGGGAAATATTTTTTATTTTAATTCTTTTGTTTAATGCTTATATTTAATATTTAATACAAGGTTTGCTCTTAAGGGAAATTTAGCACTAAAGTCAAAAGACTTTAAAGTGATCCTATATTTTAAACCCATATTTACTCATGTAGAAATTTTATTACAATAAAGAAATTAAAGAAATGAAGATTTAAGATAATCACCATATTGTTTTATTTTTATTTTATATGTATGGGTATTTTGCCTTCATGTATATCTATGTACCACATGTGTGCTTGATACCCTCAGAAACCAGAAGAAGGCAAATGTGTGGTTGTTGATAATTGAACCCAGATCCTCTGGAAGAACAGCCCATGCTCTTAACTACTGTGCCATTTTTCCAGCCCCTTGCTTAAAATATTTAGAAAAAAGTGGGGCTAAAGAGATAACTCAGTGGTTAAGAGCACTGACTGCTCTTCTAGACATCCTGAGTTCAATTCCCAGCAACCATACAGTGGCTCACAACCATTTGTAATGAAATCTGATGCCTTCTGGCATGCAGCAATACATGTAGATGGAGCACTCATACCTAAAAAATTAATTAATTAATTAAAATTATTTTAGAAAAAAGTAGGGCAAATATATATACTTTTTTGCAGAAAGAAAATAAAAGAACAATTTAGTTAGTAATTCTTCTGCTCCATAATAGCAGTTAATAATATATATATATTTCCAACTGTATACACATTCTTATTATATTTATTTGTGTTTGTGTATATATGTATGTGTATATATGTATGACCATGCAATTGCCACAGTGAATGTGTAAATCCCAGGTATCAAACAGAAGTCAGACTTTACCCACTGAGCCATCTTGATGGCCTCTTGGTGGCTGTTATATACATATTTTTGCATTACTTACAATTGTAAAAAATTAGAAGCAGTATAAATGTTTGTCACTAGAAAGCTGGCTGGGTAAGTTGTATATTAACCACAGAAAAGTTGTTCTTAATGTTATGCAGTTTAAAACCAGGTCAGTCAACTATGAAATATTCTTCTAAAAAAAATCAAGGCATACTGTATTAGGGCTCTCTGGAGGAACAAAGTATAGAATCCAGGGCAAAGGAGTATATTAAATGATGCTGTGCACATGGCAGCAGAAAGTTCTAAACTGTGTAGAAGAGAAAGTGGGAAATGACCCACTTTCTTTAAAAATAAATGCAGGGGCTAAAAAGATAGGTCAGGAGTTAAGAGCACTGACTGCTCTTCTAGAGGTCCTGAGTTCAGTTCCCAGCAACCACATGGTGGCTCACATCATCTATAATGAAATTTGGTGTCCTCTTCTGCCATGCAAGCAGAACACTACATACATAATAAACACATAAATCTTAAAAAAATAAAAATATTTTAAAAGATAAATTGCTAAAGCAAAGCAAAATGGAAGGGAAGCTTATATAAAATAGAGATTTCAGAAATGCTGTGGCTAGTTATAATGCCAAGACTTTATTTGGATTTGTAACTGAACAATCAGATTTTAAAAATTGGAGATGCCTGAGCTGCAACTGCTGTGAATGCCTCCTCTCTGAGGAGTAGCTTTCATGGAATCAGAAAGCACCATGCAAGCTTACAAAGAAGGAAGGCAACCCAGTTCTACCCAGCTATGATGCCTATGAACCAAATCAGTAGCCAGCGTGGCATCATAACCCTAACGATGCAATAGTGGCATGCTTCATTGACAGTAAACACTTAAGACATAGTCAACAAGAGGGAAATCATGCCTGGTACTAGAAACTTAGCTAACTACCCTTTGTATGAAAACATACATACAAGTAACATTATATGGACTGAGAAGGTTATATTTGGGAATAAGTATGTGTGGACACAGACCTATGTATGTAATAACAGTTAATGAAAGAAGAGATTATGAATTTGAAGGAGAGTGGGGAGGAGTATATGGGACTATTTGGAGGGAAGAAAGGCAAGGAAGAAAGATTGTAATTGTATTATAACCTTAAATTTAAAAAATTGATAGTGTATTAATATTAAAGCAGGGATTACTGTGTTAATTAATTCTGTATTTTTGTCTGTTTGAAAATGTTCATAATCCAAAAAACATTAAATAATGTTTTGTCAGTATTTGGCTAAACATAGTGAATTATGGGGCTAACGAGCCTGGCTCAGCAGTTAGGAGCACTGCAGTTCTTCCAGAGGACTCCAGTTCACTTCCCAGCATCCACATGGCAATACACAACTGCCGTAACTCCCAGGGGTTCCAACTCCCTCTTCTGACTTCAGCAGGCAAAAGACATACAAGTGGTACATATACATACAATCAAAATGCCCATATGCATAAAGAAATTAAAGGAAAAGAGAGATAGTGAGTTACAATGTTTTGAGCGTTAATACAATATATATATTTCAGATTCCCAAATGCTGGAAAATCCTCTTTACTAAGTCGGGTGTCCCATGCAACGCCTATGATTGCAGATTATGCATGTAAGTATAATTGGTGTGTTTTAAATATGATGTGAGGGTAAGTTTTCTAAGCAAAAGAATAATAAAAATCTGAGGTCAGCTTTTATTTGAAAACTTTCAGCAGTTAGAATCCATGCATTTCTTTATTTTTTTAGACTACTATTGTCCTCACAAAAGTTTCCTGCCCTTGATAGTAACTTTACTGTGTTCATTTCTCTGTTGTACAATCACTTATTTGGTTTATATAGAATTTTATAAGTTATTTAACTCTTGTTACACACTTATAACAACTGGGAAAACAGATGAAGATTTTTATTAATTTTATGGGGATTTACTTCTAGGGCCCATATTAGGCTATACTGCTAGAAAAACCAGCAATTGTATTTATACTTAGACTATTATTAAAGGAATGTGCACATTTGTGTATATGTGTGTGCATCTCACTGATAAAAATAAAGGAATGAAAGTTGTATTTTTTTTTCCAAATTTATTATTACGGATACACTTGTCAGAAGAGGACACAGGTGGTTGTGAGCCACCATGTGGTTTTTGGGAATTGAACCTGGCAGCCAGTGCTCTTAACCTCTGAGCCATCTCTCTAGCCCTGAAATTGTTTTGTTAAAGAGTGTAGGTAAGTGTAGACCTTCTTGATAGAATATGTTTGGCCAAGTTATGAATAATAATTTGATTAATTAATGCTTTAGAATAGAAGTAAAGTATCTTCAAGTCATGAAAGCAGCCTGTCCACAGTTTAGTAATTACAAGGACGTTTGTTTAGAGAAAATGAAGACAGAAGTGAGATTAAAATCAGATCAAATTGCATAGACTATGTGAGTTGTCTTTTATCTTATTAAATATCTTAAGTGTATTTGGAAGACTTTATCCAAGGGATAAAACAGATTTTCCAAAGGTTCTCCTAGCCTATAATATAGAAATAGATTGACATAAAGCATAAGGAATTTGGTTGGTGTGCTAGTACAGTAGATAGATGAGATACAATGAAAGATTAGGTTAAAGGTATTAAGTGAATCTAGTAGAATTATTTGCCATTATTAAATGGAAAAACACAGAATGTCATTAATCTGGAAAATAAGGTTGGCCCATTCAAAACTTAGAATTGAATGAAGTAGTTAATTTTGGACTAATTGCTATTAGTTACACAGTCAGTTTTTGTTATAACACATGAGACTCCATAGAATAGGCATGGGGGTGTTCTACTTTTATTTTTCGTGCTGTGATCATCACCATGACCAAATCTACTTGGGAAGGAAAAGGTTTATTTGGCTTGTAGGTTATAACCCATCACCAAGGGAAGTGAAGGGTGAAAGCAGGACCTCAGGGCAGGAACTGAAGCAGAGGCTACAGAGGAATGATGCTTACTGGCTTGCTCAGCTGCCTGTCTTATAGAACCCAGGACCACCTGTCCAGGGGTGGCACTGCCCACAGTAGATGAAGCCTTTCTTCATCAATTAGCAATTTAAAAATTATATGTATATATGCACATACATGTACACACACACACACACACAGGCTAATAACTCTTAAGTTATGGTTCCCCTTCCTTGGGTTTGTCAATGTTGACAAGCTGGATTAGCCATGACAGAAGGAAAGACAAAGTCCTAGGAGAGAGCTAGTATAAAATGGTAAGAACAATGCAAATGAGAGCAGATTAGAGGAATTTTACTCAGCCCTGTGAGTGCCTTAGTGCATAGGTTGTTGCTAATATCTGAATTGTATTTACATTTGGTGCAAGGAGAGAAGCAAGTCCTGTAGGTTGTTCTCTGACCTCCACATGCACACTATTCCATACAGCCTCCCCCAAGTAAATACATACCTACATAAAGGCAATACATTTTTAAGGAGAAAAGAAAGGATATTTTTACAGTAAAATCAGTGCTTGTGGTCAGAACCTAAACGTTCTCAAGCCGCCCCTGGCTATGCAGTAGCACTTCAGGCCAGAGCACAGAAGTCTGTTGTTATTAAAGTACAGTGTGTATGACAGAGAGAAAATTGCAGCTTTGTTTCAACAAATTACAATGGGAGTAAATATTCAGAAGGAACATAATTTTTATTTTATATTCAATGTTGACAATTTTCTAGAGAATTAGTGTTTTGGTTTCTCCCCCCCCCCCCCCCCCTTTATTTGCTGTTCTTTTTCCTTTCAGTTACAACACTAAAGCCTGAACTTGGAAAGATTATGTACAATGACTTTAAACAGGTTGGTATTTAATTCTTTTGGTGATAGGACTTTTAAGAGCAATATGTGCTCTTAGCAGCTGAGCCATCTCTCTAGCTTGGTAGTAGGACTTTTATGTTTACATGTGTCTATAGTCTTGGAGGGAAAAAACAAAACAAACAAACAAAAAACAAAGGGAGTTTTGTTTTATGATAAGTAAAAGTATGGACAAAGAATTCTGTTCAGCATTATTAGAGTAAAAAAAGAATTTTATTCTTGTTCTTCCAAATGTTGTGCTTATGTCATCCCTGTAGAATTATATCTTCTTAATCTGTATCTTGTCAGATATACCTATATCTCACTACCCCAGTGAACTGTTAATCTCCAGTTCCTAAAAGCTCTTGCTATAGAAACTATAGTGCTTCTATGGAAAATTTCACTGAGGTTTGCTTTACACTATTCGTAAGGAAGAAGTATTCTTTATATACACAGAGAAGCCTGTACAAGGGTATTTCCAGCAGCTTTATTCATAATTACTAGAACTTGCAAACAATCAGGAATCTCTCTCTATGTGAATGGTAAACTGTTACATCTGTAGAGTGGAATAGTCTGTTGTAAACTATAAAGCCATGAAAATATATAGAAGATCCTCAGATCATATTGCTCAATGAAAGAAGCCCAATGATACATTAATACATATGCACACATTAATTATTTAATTGAATTATTGGTGAAAAGAAAATTGCACACTACCTCACTAGTAATGGTGAAAGTAATAAATATTTAACTAACTCCCCAATATTTATAGATTGGTAGACTAGTAAGTTAAAGTGGGACGCAAATATTTGATAAAAGATTTTAACATGTTTATTTCAAAGATGTTGTAGAGTGATTATTTAGAAAGTTTGAAAATTTGGGAATAAATTGAACTTTGTTTTCATCTATTTTTCTTTTTCATCAAATCATTAATTTGTGTTAGATTTCAGTAGCCGATCTCCCAGGTTTGATAGAAGGAGCACATATGAACAAAGGAATGGGTCACAAATTCCTCAAGCATTTAGAGAGAACCAGACAACTGCTTTTTGTTGTAAGTCATATACATACCAGTGTGATGTTCAACTGAATTAACTTGGTTTTCCTAGAAATACTTTGTAAGTAAAATTAAAGAGATAATGTGCCACAGAACCCTATTTTCATCATTGATGGACATCTTAGGGAGGCATCAAAAGTTTTTATAAACTGGTGACATCGCCGTCTTCTTAGATGTGCGATCATACTCTAAGTTCATATAGTGATAAAGTCATCGGATATGTTTTCAGAACGCAGCCCTGGTATTAGACAGTGCATGACTGTACTAGTAAACCAGTATTTGAATAGGGGACAAGCCAGTATGTAATATTTTTTTAATATAGGAATGAAAATGCTGTTGCTACTGTACTTATTATATGTACATTTTGCCATACTTATCATTCCTTCCGATTTTTGGCATACTCTTAGAAGTATCTCTTTCATTCTTAATTAGTGACGCTTGAGTTATGGAAGTGGGTGCTTGTATTGATATTAATTATCTATACTAGTTTTACATCAGGACTCATAGTATTGCTTATCATTATTGTGACAATTCAATTTCTGTTCTTGCATTGAATTACTAAATTGCCAGTAAAACATAGATTGAGAAATTACTCTCTGAAATTATTGAGAGAGAAGACATTGCTAGGCATAGACCTGAGTAACCATTTTATGTTCTGGGGTTTCTCTTCTCTCTTGTTAGGTTGATATTTCTGGATTTCGGCTTTCTTCTGTAACTCCATACAGAACTGCCTTTGAAACTATAATTCTTCTTACAAAAGTAAGTTTTCTGATTTACTGTGTTCTGGAGCTAGTTCCCCATGTATGTGAGTCACACAGTAACCAAAATAACCATCGTTGTAAGGATTTTATTCAGTTAAAGGATCAGGGTTGCTGTTGGCAGTTCTTCAGTACCCACCCACTCCTCGTTACCCAGGTAGCTAGCTCCCTCTTGTGCTCCATGTCCCTTCACATCTTACTTTGCTTCTGCTCTGGAGTCTGTCTTCTTGAAACATTCTCCACTTAAAAACCGTGAATGTTACACAAGCAGTCCACCATTAAGCTCTACTCCCAGCACTTGTCTTAACATTTAAGCAAGTTTATTGAGAGTTATTTTGTAATCTTACCTCCTCTCATTATTTCTCATTGCTTATAGTTATGTACCCTTGACTGCTAAATCTGTAATTGATAACAAGATCTTTTGTTTATGCTGTAGACTGGATACTTATTAGGCATCTGTGATTGTCATGGTAACCCAACAAAGTAAGAGGCAAAAAAAAAAAAAAAAAAAAAAAGTCCCAATCTTTTTTAGCCACCCCATTAATGTAACTTTATTGAAATTTACTCCTAAATATATATGCCTTTTCTAAGAATGCAACAGTATTAAATTTTTGGCCTATGGGTCTTTCTCTGTTGAGTCTAGTTACTTGCATTTGGCTCTAGGCACAAAGTCAGTTGCTTCTGGAAACCATGTGAGCTAACATCTTATTCACATGGTTTAACAAAAAAGCATTTCCTTTGTTTTATTGTTATTGCGACTTACTGCCTTGTGGCATTAAAGAAAGATCACCATAACCTTCACTTATATACATTGTTTGGCTTTTCTTTTTATTTAAAGGAGCTGGAGTTATACAAAGAGGAACTGAAGACGAAACCTGCACTCTTGGCAGTTAATAAGATGGACTTGCCAGGAGCCCCAGTTAAACTTGAGCAGCTGATGGAGCAGCTCCGGCACCCTGCAGGTAAAGCATCCTCTCTTTCCTGGACCTCGACACTAGCTGTGAGCACAGACTATTGGGGCTTTCTATTCTTGTTCTTTTTGGTGGAGGGGTTAAGTTTGTGAGACGGGGTCTCCTGTAGTCCAGGCTGGCTTCAAATTTGCCACCTTGAATTTCTGCCTTCAGCTCTCAGGAGCTGGGATTATAGGTGTATAATAGTATTACCAATGAAAGCAGAAGCCAATGGGAAAGAAAACCAGTAGTTTCTACTGGGAGAAACTACATTTGAGGAAAGAACACATCATCTATAAGCACTGAAATAGCATTGACCAGACATGATCAAGTCTCAAAGTGAGTAATAAAATTAAATTAGAGAAAGCTAAGATTATTTTGGTCCAAAAAGATTAGGCTTTATAAAGATTTAAAATGTATGTAGACCTTTAAAGGGTACAAGAGAGGACCTAGAGATGTCTTAGCCATTGAGAGGAAATCCTGTTCTTGTAGAGGACCTGAGTTTGGTTTTTAGCATCCATGCCAGGGGCCTCATAACTACCAGGAATTCCAGCCTCAGGAGGGTTCAATTCTTCTTGTACTCACACACACATCGACGTACCCAGACATCCATTCATACACTTAATTAAAGATAAAATAAATCTTTTTGTCTGTTTGATTCTTGGGTTTATTTGTTTTTGCTTTTTCTTATTTTTAGATAGGGTTTAATGTAACCATGGCTACCCTACAAATCACTATGTAGACCAGGTTAAACTCATAGATACACCTACTTCTGCCTCCTGAGTGCTGGGATTAAAGCTGTGTACCATCATGACCACCTGAAAATAAAATAAAAATTTTAAAATAGAAAACAAAACAAAAACACAGGAAATGTGGGTAAAAGGAGAAAAAGTTAGCAACTAACTCTGAAACAGTAGAATGTTTTATCAGCCCTGGAGTTTTGTCTTGCTACAACACACTGTGCTATAACAAACCTACTAGGGTTTTACTTGTTTTTTGAGATTTTATGTATGTATGGGTTTTTGTCTGCATGTATGTCTGTACACCACGTGCATACCCAATAGAAGATGTCAGATATGGGACTGAGTTACAGACGGTTATTAGTTAGCATACTGGGACTGAACCCAGGTTCTCTGGAAGAACAGCCAGTGCCCTTGACTAATGCTGAGCCATCCCTCCAGCCCAGAGCTAGTAGTTTTAAGAGTTTCTCTGTTTTGTTAACATTAATGTAGTAACTCTGAAGAATATTATTAGTTTTTAGAAAAGAACATTTAGTCCTGTGGTCATGTGACTCAAAATCAATCTTGTGACTGAAAAGATTTGTCTGAAATTTCTTAAATGGAAATTTTTTACTATATAAAGAAACTTTTTGTTTTGGTTTGGTTTTTAGTTTTTCAAGACAGGGTTTCTCTGTATTACTTTGGAGCCTGTGTGGAACTAGCTCTGTAGATCAGGCTGGCCTCGAACTCACAGAGACCCACCTGCCTCTGCCTCCCGAGTTCTGGGATTAAAGGTGTACATCACCAATGCCTTGCTCTATAAAGAAAATTAAAAGGACTGATTTAGTTCCTGTTCTGTTACTGTGAAAAGACATCATGACCAAGGCAACTCTTATAAAGGAAAGCATTTAACTGGGGGCTTGCTTACAGTTTCAGAGGCTTAGTTCATCATCATCATGAGGGACGGGCAGGCTGGAGCATAGCACTGGAGCAGATATCTGAGAGCTACACCCTGATCTGTAGGCAGAAACACAGAGACAGACAGGACACTGGGCCCTGAATTGATTTTCTGAAATGCTAAGCCCACCCCCAGTGATGTACTTTCTCCAACAAGGCCGCACCTTATAGTCCTCTAATTCTAGCAGTGTTCCACTAGTGGTGACTAAAGATTCAAACATGTGAGCCTACAGGGGCCATTCTTACTCAGACCAACACAGTGACTCTCACAGTTTGGAAAATGACTGCTGTAAAGCAGCATTATCCTGTGGTGATGATGGTTTCAACTTGGACGTCTAGAAGAAGGCCTCATGCACAGGAAAAGTGGCACAAAATGGCAAGTGGCCTTCTGCTTTGGAAGAATACTGATTTCTCCCTTTTCTGTTACTGGAATGATAATTAGGGACAACTGACATTAATGTAGGCTTAGCAGATAGCACCAATGTCCTTTCTCTTCTCTGGAAGGTACATGTATTTTGCAAGTGGTGGTACTAGAAGTGAGGGTAACTCAGGAGTCTGTGTATTCTGGATCACCACAGTCCTTGGCTCTGTCTCTCTGGACTGTCTACTAGAAGCGAGGGTAATTCAGGAGTCTCTGTATTCTGGACCACCACAGTCCTTGACTCTGTCTCTGGACTGTCTTGGTGTCTAACTCTTAGCCAGGCTCCATGTTGATTTCAGTCTGCCCATTTTAGTCTGCACCCCGTCACCTCACACCCCACTGCCATGGTGTGAGGGAGAAGATAAAGTCATGTAGCTCTGGTAGCCCTGAAGTGATTGATTGGACTCAGAGAAAATGATCCCCCTTGAGCCATTCGGCCTCGTGCTGTAGTTTTAAATGTGGATCCTGGTCTGCATTTAAGTAGTGCTAAGCCTGTGCCTGAGGTTAAGTTAAAGCTTATGTGTGTGCTAAGGCAAGAAGAATGTTTTTGTGGAAACTTTCAGGGTTATTTTGTCTCATTCAGCCTTCTTAAGCAAATTTTATTATTCTTTTAAGTGTTGTCATGACTTATCTAATATTTATTTTTCATTTGGCTTAGAATAAATGTCTTTGACAGTTCCTTACCAAGTACTTATCATACACTAAGAATCACCATTGTCAATACTAACACAAAGATCCCAGGAGCTACTGAGACAGAGCAAAGCAGGCAAGGAGGAGTTCCTGGAGCTAACTTGTCAGTTCCTTGTTTGATTGGTTTTGACTTAAGTTCTAAAAAGGCTATGAAAACCACCTGTTCTTTGTTTCAGATTTTCTGCATTTATTTGAAAAAAGCATGCTTCCAGAGAAGGCTGTGGAGTTCCAACATATCATCCCCATCTCAGCAGTTACTGGGGAAGGGATTGAAGAGTTGAAGAGCTGTGTAAGAAAGTCACTGGATGAGCAGGACAGCAAAGACAACAATGCATATCATAGGAAACAGTTGCTTAATTTGCAGATTTCCAATGCAGTGTCTTAGAGAGAGCCATATCCAAGTGTGCTGTTACCGCTGCCAGAAGGACAACATTTAAATCTAGCATAATGTATTGGTGGGTACTGTTTTTTTTAACAAAGAAGGAAATCATGTTATTTGAAACACATATGAGCCTGGAATGCATTATGTTCAAAAAAGCCAGGCAGGCACAGCAAGACAAATATCACACGATCGTATCTTACATGTGTAATATCCCCCTCGCCCCCCAGACAGTGTTTCTCTGTATTGCTTTGGAGCCTGTCCTGGAACTAGCTCTGTAGACCAGGCTGGCCTCAAACTGAAGAGATCCGCCTGCCTCTGTGTCTTGAGTGCTGGGATTAAAGGCATTCACCACCAATGCCCTGCTACATGTGGAATCTTTAAAAAAAAAAAAAAAAAAACTGAACAAGTAGAAAAAAAGTGATTATTAAGGATGGGGAGATAAAGGGTTAAGAGATGTTGCTCAAAAGATAACAAAGTTTCAATTAAACTCTGCAGATCTGTTGTATAGCTGGTTGTTTATAGTTAGAACAGTTTATCGTATTTTGAAAACTTTAAGAAAATAGATTTTAAGTATTCTGACCACAAAGAAAAAATTGAGAAAAATATATTTTAAATTAGCTTGATTCTGTATTTCAAAACACTGTGTATGTTAGAGATACATGTGTAGTTTTTATGTGTCAAGTAAAAATGATACTGTAGTCATAATAATTTGAAAGCTTTTCCACATTTTTAAGATAATCTTTACCTGTAGGTTTTCTGATACAGGTGTCATCATTTAGAAAGAGAAATTTTCCTCTTCCTCCTCTTCTGGTATTAGCTCAGCAAAGCAATTTCTTGCTGCAAAAAGTATACACAGGACCGAAACTGGGCTAGCATGCACACCGAGACCTGTTGTGGGTGGTGACTGGATCTCTTCCTGTTGGTGGAAGCTCAACTTCATGGTCTGACTAATGTCTAATTGGTTCAAAGGGGACGGTTCAGAAAACACCAGTCCTCACTGGCTAAACACCTTAGATTTTAAAGTTTCTCATGACTACCTTGTCTTTATTACATTATTTTTTATTTTTTTTCCAAACTTCAGTGTTGGCCATTTGAAGTTTCTAGGAAGAATAAATGATTCATATGATTGGTGGGTGAGCCTACCTTCCAGGAAGATACATTTTCTTAATTCCTAATTAAAGTATTTAAACAATACTTAAAAATAGAGATTTGTTTTCTTTTGGTGAAATTTGTTATAAAATATACACATCCACTTTAAAAAATTGTTTGAAAAAAAAAATGCAAGCAGTATACAGAAACATAAGTCAACTGCTATTTCTGTTTGCTGAGACCTTCAGGGGTTCCCCAGGGGAAGCACAGTCAGAAGCTTATGTTTTTACAGAAATGTTTGCACTTTTATCTTTTTAATCCAAATGAGTAATTTTCTCTGACTTTTTTTTTTTTTTTTGGTTGTCTTTTTGCAAAGTAGTAGCAAGTTAATGAGCTCTAAACATTCCTGAGCTAAGCATGGAGGTATATGGTGGTATGGGCCTGTAATCATAGCACTGAGGAAGGAGAAGCGAAGGATTCTGAAGGCCTCTTGAACAACTTAGCAAGTTCTAGGCTGGTCTGGACTTTGTAGTGGGACCATGTCTCAAAAAGGTTGTTCTTTAATAATATTCTTTATTTTTGTTTTCATTTTATTATTTTGTGTGTACTGGTGTTTTGCTTGCAACCATGTCTGTATACCATATGAATGCAGTTCCTGTAGAGGCCAGAAGAGTGCGTCGAATACCCTGGAACTGGCATTAACCTACAGTTGTGAGCTACCATGTGGGTGCTGGAAATCAGACCCAGGTCCTCTGGAAGAGCAGCCAGCTTTCTTAACTTCTGAGCCATCTGTCTAGTCCCTTTCTTTAATAACATTTAATAACATTTCTTTATTAAAAATTTCTTGATAATTTAGTGCTCAGTAACAATTCAGTAATTGACCCCTTTTAATTTACTTTGAAGTACTTATTTATGTATTTATTTATTTATTTGTTTTGTTTTTCGAGACAAGGTTTCTTTGTGTATTTGCTTTGGAGCCTGTCTGGAATTTGCTCTGTAGATCAGGACAGTCTCTAACTCCCAGAGATCTACCTGTCTCCTGCGTGCAGGGATTAAAGGCTTGGGCCACCAACACCAGGCCACATATTTTAATTTTTCTTGAAATAAATTTTGTTCTCCCCACCCCTTGAGGCTGTTCATTTTACCTTTCAAAATACCTTCTTTTAGGTATTTTTCTTTTAAATGATAAATATGTATTAGCTATGCAAAGAGAAATATCTGCTTTTAAAAGTACTCATTTGTAGTGGTAGGGGGAGGGCTGTGGGCTGCTGCATACATGTGGAGGTCAGAGGACAGTTTTATGGAGTTGGGTTTTTGTCTTGCACGTCTAGAATGCAGCTTTGGGTCTCCACGCATGTGCAGTAAATGCTTTACCCCCTGGTCATCTCCGTGCCCAAGTCTCCTTTCATAATGTGACAGCTTGTATTAAAGGTGTACTTCCTCAGGTCTCATACAGTAAAGTTGTGTTCGCAGCAAGCTCAAGTGCTGTGCAACCGAAGAAGTGAGATTCTTTTGAGGTGGTGAATGAAGGCTAAAGATGTCCTTTTGATAAATACAAAGAAGTACATAAACACATGAAATATTTTCTAATTTGTAAGATTACATTGAAAAGACAGCAAAGGTTCATTCCATGCAAAAATTTATAGAATGAGACTACATGAAAAGTGTTTTAGTGGTTGGAGATGCTGCTTAGTGGCTGCTTGCCTTACGAATAGTGCTCTGGGTTGACTCCCAACACCGCAAATGCTCAGTTATAATGATGAACATGTTTCAAAGCAATAGTATAAATGGTTTTATTATAGTTTTAAAAAACAACACCCGCCCCGGACGGGGGGGGGGGCGCCCGCACCAAGGCAGGAAGAGGGGCCGCAAAGAAGACGAAAAAGCCCCGAGCCACAACCAGGCCCAGCGAGAAAAGGAAGACGGCGGGAACAAACAGACCAAGATGACAGACAGGGAAAGCGAAGGGGGTACCCTCGCCAACAACGCCCGCGAGGAAAGAAAGAAACAGCATGTTGGTAAAACCGGGCACACACAGGGCAAAACAAAGGAAGAGGGAAAAACACAGAGGGCACACGGACATGACCCAGGGAGAAAAAAGAGCCAGAAAGACGGGGAAGAACCAGAAAAGCCCAAAAACCACCAGAGCAAAAACAGCAGGGCAGCGGATCATAAAGTGGATTAGAACCATGAACCACAATCGGAGCCAGACATGGTGAAGTTAGTACAATCCCAGTTTTTTGGGGGGTTTTGTTTTGTAAAAAAAATACTATCGACAAAATTTTGGGACCAGAGGTGTTTAGGTTTTCAATTTAAATACACATTTTATCATAAAAAAAAAAAAAAAAAAAAAAATTAACAACATACAAATACATATACTTTATTTTAAAAACAGGAAGTTTTGTTTCAAGAACAATAAAATTAATGTATATTTTTTAGTTCTTAAGAGTACTACAAATTTGATATAAATCTGAGTTTTAGAATAAATTTGGAAATTTTGACTGAGTATATGGACTGTGCTGTTTGTCACATCAGCAAAAATAATAATGTCATCATAGGCTATACACTTAGATATACGTATTATCTAAATACTGTAGAACATTTCTTCTTGATCTTTTTTTTTTTTTCTGATGTTGGCTGGGACATACAGGAAGGTGTTTAAAAACTATTCTGAGAAGCTGGGATGGTGGCATATTCCTTTAATTCTAACAGAGACTACTATTTGTTATGAGTTTGAAGCCAACCTGGCTTAAAGGTGAGTTCCAAGTCAACCCTGACTACATAGTGATATTGTCTCAAAAAAATTTGTAAGCAAAAAAATGTTTTTAATGTTACGAGTCTCAAATAGTCTAGTTTTAAAGACATTTGGAAAAATAATCTTTATAAAACTTTATAACTTGGGATTAAGTCAGTGAGATGACTGTTGACATCAAATGTTGGCCATTAAGACATTATAATTTTTACTGCAAAATCAATAGAAAGTAAAGCAGGTTTTTGTTTTGTTTTGTTTTCGTTTTTCCTTAAAGAGGTATCTTGATTCTATTTCTGATTGTGATTATTTTCTGTTTTCTGATTAGAATTGGTAGTCAGAGAGAGCATATCCACCTGGGCTTTCATTTTTATCTTTGCATAGGTGTTGTTGACTAATTCAAGGAGAATAGAAAGCAGGCAGTAGAAATGGAAAGAGGGATAGGAGAAAGATAATTTTAATATTAGAAATTCCCTGTGGGTGAGTTAGGAGAAGCAGGTACAATCATTACCTCTGTTATCTATGATCAGTATGAAAAGGCCAATGGTGTTTTTAGCTACTGTTTCTGTCCATACCCACCCACTTATTTGGGGCAAATTATCATTTTTAATGTTTTCACCATGTGACAGCTTATTAATAAATAATTACCAGATTCTTGGAGGACTGTAGAGGAAGTTATCCTCTTTGTACATATCATTAAAGTGTCTACAATAGAAATCAAGTCTGAGATGCCCAGATACCAAGCTGGTAAAACATAGTTACTGTCTGAATCATGACCTTTGAAATACTTGGAATTTGAAGAACAGGATATGTGGTTTATATTATAACTAATTTTGAGGCAATATATGACAAAGCCTTTTTCCCCATTTGTTTTCTAAATTCAGAGTGTTCAAAGTTGAAAGCAAAGGACAAAAGCTTCCTTTGTTCATGACCTCATATTCCAGTGTGGTTTTCTGAGATTGCCAGTGTTTTCTAACTAATGCCTTTATTATTTTTTTGGTTATCAAACATTACTTTGGTATTATTTCTATATAAAAAAGACTTGAAAAGACTGGGATAATTTTATGGTATTAAACAAAAAGACACAGTTATACAGCCAAAATATACCTTTATTTCTATTTGTATATGGCTTGCTACAAATTGTGGCTATAGAGACTGTTTTAAATCAAGGACAGTTGTTGAGTAAAAGCTTCTGACTGGAAGGACTTGAAATATGATTAAATAAAATAGCAAAAGCCCCTAGTGAGCTGCATTGTAATAAGCGAAACAAGAGTACTATATAATAATTGAACTTCAGTTTCAAAAATAAATCTTTCCCAGAAGTGGTACCATTTGACATCAAGAACAATAGTAAGAACTGTATGATGAACACAGATGGATTTTCCTATAAATCATAGACCATAAAAGCTAATCTATTTCAAAGAACTCATAATTCTAAATCTGTAATTTATTCCTTCCAAAGTTTAAGATACAAGTTTCTCTTTAAAAAAAAAACTGGGGCAGGGGGTAATAGTGGTGTTCGTCATGGTTACGCTACAAGGTGTAAAAACCAGAAAACAGGTGCAGGCAAGGTCTTCATTGCCTCACGTCTAGACAAATTCTGTACCTTCCCCTGTTCTTCCTCTCCTCAGGTGGTGACTTTATTACTGATTGGAAGTGTGCTGCAGGTGACAGCACAACTCTTTAACCCCAGCTACTTGGGAGGCAGAGTGCTTAGCATGCTTGAGGCCATAGGTTCAACCCCCAATCCATATTTACATACAGTGAAACATGCTGTCATATTTCCTGTTATGGACTGAATGGATTCTTAACAGTATTTGAAAATGCACCAAAAGACAGTTTTCTATTTTCCTGTGCTGTTCTTTCCTTCCTTTCTTTTTTAAATTGACACTCACTCTACACTGCCCAGGCAGGCTTTTGAATTCCTGGACTAAAATGATCCTCTTGCCTCAGCCAAGTAGCTATAGGCTTGTGCCACCATACCTGAGCATTTAAGAGTGGAGAGTGTTGTCTGTTTAACTTACTCGGAACTGTCTTCCCTTGCGTTCTTTGTTCATTAAAGGAGGAATCAAGATGTAGCTCCTAATTTAAGTAAAGTGTAGAGAATTCATCAATGAAAATGGATTATAAAGTGAAACCACTCACATGGTAAAGAATTGGTGACTACCATGGAGTACAGTTAATTGGTATTAGCAAATGCTAACTGAAGCCAGCAGTCAAGCACTGGTAGTTGTATACTAAAGTGATGGCAAGTCTGCCAAAGACATGGATTGGAGAAAATAGGTTGTCCTTCTCCAAGGAAGTGTACTGACTGACTGAGGGAGGAGAGGAAGACCAAGCCTGTTGCCAATTCTATTAGAGATTGGAT